TCTCATCAACATGCACAAATGAGTACATGTTGTCGAAAATGGTTCCCTTTGACGACGGGCGTAGAAATGATAGCGCATGTTCCATGCGGGTCTTCGTGTTGGCTTCCGTCAAGAGAGGCTTTGAATAACTTGACTTCAACTTCAACGTCTTCGCCCGTTGCATGTGGCGAATGATCGTTGACTTGGACAGTCCTGATTTGGCAGCAAGTGTGCGCAAAGTTTGCCGTTCGTACAATGGTACGGCCCGAATCAAGCTTTCTATTTCTTCGTCAGTATGTTGAACCTTTCGATTGGTATTGCCTAATATCATGCAACTCTTTAAATTAATACTTGTGTGATTTTATAAACAGTCACGAAAATATTATAATTAAGAGGTTTTACCCTTGTATTTTGCCGACACGGCGGCCGTCGCACTGCCTTCGCGGAGTGAGCTGCGTCCTCGAGCCCACACGTTCGAAATCGTCTGGCTCGAGCAGTTGAAGAGTCGGGCAGTACGAGTGATGCATCCATGAGGCAGGTCTCCGCCTTCGCTTCTTTCCAGAAGCGTTTCATAGATGCAATGCCGCTGTTCATCTGAGAGCTTCTTGTTCCCAGTGCGGGGGACGAAGGCAGTTAGAGAGCGTGGCGATGGCATAGTTCGTTTGGGAATGTAGTTTGCAAGAGAAGTTGTAGTGACCAGGAAGGGTGTAAATGCAATATGAGACCACAGCGGGTCGTTAAGTTTGCTAAGGGATGTGTGGGCAACTTCTTGCCGCCATAACTTTTGAGCAAAATGGAACTAGTTTGCTCGGAAATCATCCAATCAAAGTGGAGATCTTGCGCTTTCATGTGAGCCAATTAGATCGGTGTAGGCAAACAATTAGAAAAATTCCGCCAATGACGAAAAAAGCCAATACATTTGTTTGGACCAGAGTAGTAGTGATGATATCAAAGATGCACAATTTGTCATTTATTCCTTCTGCAACTTAGACGCTAACTGCAGAAGCAACGACATAATGTCATCGTTTCGTTTCATCTCGAATTCGCGTTGTTGAATCCGCTCTAGCCTCTCCTTTTCGCGCTCTTCAAGCTCCATCTGCAATTTGTACTTCTCAAACGCCAATCGTTCCCTCTCGAGCTCGATCCCGCGCTCGTGCGATTCAAAAATCGCTTTGCGCTTGCGCCCAACAACATCAATGTCCGTAGATTCGTCAGTCTCGACAGACTTGCGCTTACCACTCTGCATTGCTTGGTCTCGGAGGAATGACGCTGCCGCCTCCTTCTCCGTCACCTTGGCATGCATGGCTGCTCGGTCCGCGTTGCGTTGGTCCATGGCCTCGTCGAACAGCTGGACCAGCTCGTCCAAGAGGACGATCTTTCCCGTCTCTTCCTGCTCGACTCCAGACAGGTATTGCGAGCTCTGCTGGAACCGCCGATGCACACGCAGAAGCTGGTAGAACCTGTTCGCTGCCTTCTTGCCATCCAACGTCGTCCGACCGAACCCGGGAACTTCCAACAGCTTGGTAGCAAGGGCGTCCCATGCTTTTGTGGTGTTCTTGACTAGCTTGAGCTATGCACCATTGTATAGAGACTTCCTTATATTTTCTTCCAGAGTACTATTATAGTAGTACTACTCCATAGCAGTAGTTCTACTCCATAGCAGTAGTTCTACTAATAGTAGCTGTCCTGTTTTAACATGGAAGTCCTCATGGTCGAGGATTGCTCGGTGGGGAATACTCCATTCGAATGCAAAATACAAGTATTAATATTAAGTACTACGTAGTATGTATTAATAAGCTTAACGTTACAGTTATTACTAATAGTACTATAAATAATACGGAATCCATTTCTATTTACTACCTACAATATCTGCCAATCAGAGGTTTTGTGTAGCAAAGTAGCGCATGTTGTGCTACTGTATGCACAAGTAGGGCTAATTCTGCCAACAAAGACGAACAAGAGAGCCGGTTCAGCCTAAAAAGACGAATTACGTCTCGATCTTGTTATTTACTGTTAATTGATCTGTGTAGTTAAACTTGACGTATGACAAGGGCCATAGCGTTTACGCGTGCTGTACCTAGAACTGGTCATCGAGTACGGCTTGGTCGTTCAAATCTCCTTTGAATTATAAAAATCCACACAAAGGCGATATCAGCCCCTTCTTCATTTCTCGTTTTCACTTATTGCCATGAAGTTCCTTGCTGCTCTCATCCACGCCGCCGCCGCCGCCTCGTCCCAAGCGGGAGCTGGCCCACTCGCGGTGGTGTTGGATAGCCTTGCGCCTGTGGATAACACGACCATAGCCATCTCCAAAGACCAAAGTGTGGCAGTTCAATTCCGCAGCCCTCCGGTGGCAGAAGGTTGTGATACCCCTTCTGGCAGTGGAGACATCGACTGCACCCTTGGACTGAAACTTGAATTTGTCAACTTTACCGTCCGTACGATCGACATTTCCACCGACGCGTCGCTGTGGTTGCAAGCTGAATTGTGCTCCCCTGGCGTCGAAGGTAACCAATCCCTCCATTTATACACTAATTCCCCCTTTCAAACCAATATATATTCACGAGAGTTTCCTTCTGCAGAAGGCTTGCCCGGGTGCACCAAGTCCTGCGTCCCCCATATCCCTATCCAAGAATTCGCCGAACAGGTCACGTTCCAATGGTCCCCCCCGTCCCCTATTGAACTTAAGCCCAACACCAAGTACTGGTTCACGGTGCGCTCGAACGGCGAAACGAAGGACAAGTCGCCACTCTGGTTGCTTGGCTGTAGGGAGTTGATAACGCAGAGGAAATTGTAAAACTGATTGATTGGCGTTATCTACATCTACATGCATGACTACTGTGACTATACTATATCTAATGCTATATATACGTGCGCTCTGCAGAAGGAACTTCTGGTGTCCATGGCCGAGCACGCCGCACGCCAATCGAGCTTGGTCGTAAACTGACGTCAACAGTGACGTCTG